GGAACGGGAAAAGCTGAAGGCTTTAATTTTAAGGGAATGCTCCCTACTCATGTGCGACTAAAAGATTTCATATTCAGCTTTCCTAGTGAGGTCTTTTTTGCGCACAACAGCAACTTTCTGTTTGTCGGGTCACTGAAGCCGACATCTACAACTGACATTTCACGTAGCTGCCCAATTAATTCCCCAAACTTTGAGGGCCAGTATGTTACAGTGCTAGCTACTGCGATTTCTTTAGATCTTGCTACAGCACGAAAAGTGTAAAAACGTATAATCGCACTCACCAGCCTAGTGCGTTCCAGCCTGGGTTGTTTTACGGTATTTGCACGAATATAGATGGGATGATCATTCACCTTAACTTTCGAAACCGCACACAGATCAATGAAGCGGAGGTACGCAGCTCAGGATCAAAAGCTCTGGCACATCCCATGTCCGGCTTATAGAAGAACCCAGTTATGCTAATTTCTAAAAGGCTTTAAATACTTTAGTAAAATCTCGGTCTTGATGAGAGACCACAAAATTATTAATTTTTGCAGGCGGATTTAAGGAAGATCCCGGGAATTCAAATTGAACAAGCAACATGTCTTAAAAATTTTAACGAATTACTGCGCAACTACCATAAAGAGATGGTTGAAATTTTGAAGAAATATGGTGCCGGAAAAGTGTGACTTCGATGATCAAAATCCACAAAAGAACTTCGACCAACTCTCAGTTTGCGGAATGGAGCTTCTATCGTTGTTGCTGAGGCATAAGCACGATACCTGTGACCGTTTTTTGTTTCAGATCCTAGCCTTTTTTTTCCTATCCGTGTTAAAAAATAATAATTTACAATAAACTGTTACTCTGTAAACTCATGTAATACAGTTTTTTAAAAACTGCTCCAAACTGCCAGCAGCACGTGAACTGTTCCTGTACCTCCATGCCGCGGAAGAGAAGGGGCAAAGGGGACACAATGGTACTAGTTGAATGTGTGCAGTAGAGGGCGAATGGCGCTCCGTTGCTCAACAATATCGCTAAAAAGGGATGCAGAGGCTGCATATCTGGACGGTGCATTTATCTCCGTCTTTATTGCGATTCTCTTCCCATTATGCATTTCAGATTTTACATTCCTCGAAGTTCCCTGCGCTATAAAATCATTTCTTATCTGGTCTAAAATGTGATATGCAAATGAAGCCAAAATGACTAGAAATTGTTGTGTTCGAAATTATGAATGAACAGACAGGTGTTCTTTTCGAGTATTTAGGTAATCGGATCTTTGTTCATAAATTGTGGAGCATTTTTAATTGTCTCATCACAAAAATATCATTGCACAAAATAACAGTGAGTGAAAAACTGCCATACTGCAAAACTGGGAAAAAAGTAATTGTGATTGCTAAATGATTATATATTAATAGTAGGTTCTTTTTTATTTCGTCGAAAGTTTGATTCAGATCTTATTCCTACTCGATTCTGAACAATAATACTGCACACTAGTTTCATAAAAAAATAGAGTCAGTGGGCAAGTTATTTTTTCCAACAATACACGCTAACAACATCGTTTGCATCAGTTTATCCGAGAAACGGGAGATTAATATTTTTGTGCACGAACTGCGATTGTCTCGATTTTCTCACAAGAATTTGCTAACTTTGAGTTTTTAAAATTTTTTACTGTAAAAAATTCGCCTTTTTCACTTAGCACTGATTTTGCGAAGTTTTCTCTTTTTTAAACTTTTCCACCATATTTTCAGTTCCCGGCTTATCAGCGGTAGTTTCTGCTCCAATTGTTTCTACTAAAAAATAAAAAATAAAACTGCTTTTATTTTCCAAAACTACTTAAAAGTTTTCTCTAATAAAGAAAAAAAACTTCGAAAATACCACATTTTTCTGATCTCTTATGTTTCTAGTTCGTTTCTAATTTCCGAGTAACAGTTTTTTAACCTGTTATAAAAAGAAAATAATGTTCCGGGAAAATTCTGGATATGCCACTGCACAATAATATACAAACATTATTTGCCAAATATTTGGCAGAGTGAAATAGCACCCGTTACATTGTCAAATAACCTGTACATTTTTTATAATGATCACAACAGCTACCTAGTATAAGATCCAGGAGTTACTAGAAAGTGAGAAACAAAAAAGAAATCACTGAATAACGAAGCATCATCTGATAAAAAGATTGTCGCTTATTAGTGACTTGGTCCGCTTGGAAGGCCTCCGAAGCAGTGCTGTGTTTGTACATCAGTGAGTTTGGCCAGTATAAACTGGGACACGGAATAGAGGCTAGAAAGGACTGGTTTGTGCACACACGGCCGCATTTCGTTGACATGAAGATTTTGCGCGACTTGTCATACGTTTTTGGGATGATCACACACAAGATGTGCGTCGATTAGGGGTGAAACGGACCGGGCGCAGCAGAAGGAAGTGTCAGTAACAGAAATTCTGGCACAAATATAATCTTTCGGTTCTCCTAACATTTGACTTCACGGACACCGCTTCCGGAATCGCTGTGGGCAGCCAGAAGGCCATTCGAGCTGGTTGAAGAAATACTGAGGCGGAGGTGAATCTGCTTCCAGATACGGTACAATGATAGCCCAAGCTGCTTGATTCAAAGGATTTTGATCGAAATCATTTTGATGATAGGAATGCTGCAACACAAATTGATATCCCTAATGAAAATACTGCAGTTTACAATGCTCTGTGGGGACAGAAAAGTCGGGACAGAAAAGAGACGCGGCATCTCTGATTCCTGCTAAGTTTATGATAAATAGCGGCCTCGTAGTATTTCAGCAATAGTATACAAGCGTTTTAAATTTTATAAGAAATTTTAATCCTTACTTCTAGACTTTATTACTTAAGAAATGCGACTTCTGAGATGTCTATTCACAATTACGAATAAAAACATAAACAATTAATAAATCGAAAAAGTATTTTCCAAGAGGAATGATTTTCCCGTTAAAAACACATTTTTTTAGTTGAGGAAGGCGCTATGTTTGGAAGCCAATTAAAATTATATCTTTCACTAAAAAATTGAAAGAACACCAGGTCAACAATTAAACGGGTCACCGGTCCCGCGCTGTGCGTGAATTTTCCATCTCGAAAAAACATCAGCTACGCAATCGTCCTATCTTTCTAGCTTTTTGAGAAAGGAACAGGCCTTCATTAGTTATTTCCTGCGAGCCGCAAATAAGTGTGCCTATTACCAATTATCAAGGTACTTTAATAAGCACTTTTAACGGCCCATTTGATGCCAATTTCGCTGCCACCTGCCGCTGCTGTCCAATTCTCCGAAAATTGCTGAAGGATGTAATGGAGATATTTTACAGTGTCAGAGGATATTAGCAGGAGGCATCCAGTTCGATTCCAGTCAGTAGGACAATAAGTCCATCTACGATTTCTTCATTCGTTTTGATAGCAGATTGGTGCTGGTGTTTGCCAGGGAGACAAATTTGTCATCAGTTCGCTTTTAAGCAACCACCGAAAGAAGCGACTACCAAAAGCTTCGCTTCCCAGCTTCTCTGGTTCATGAGTTGAAAGCAGCTGACAAAATTCAGTGACATAAACACATACATATAATCCATATACACATACAAACACCGATAATCTCCTGACAATATGTGTTTTTGCCCGCTGTTGCAGGGTTATAACGTTACACAGCAAAACGCATAAAAATTAGTAATCACCTTGTAACACTGCTTATCTTAATGATAACAAAAAAACTTACTGACAATGAGTGATAAGTCCAAAAAACACGTGTGGCTAACAAATAAGCAAGTAGAACATCAATAGTGTAGTGCTTTCTTGACAGCAATATACAGAAAATAGCAATAAATGCGCCAACATTGTACAGCTGAGCCAAATAATACAATCGCCTGGGGCAGTATTGCTTGAAAGCCAAGGTTGCCGTGAACAACGATATTGTATGCCCGGAAACAATCAGATCACCGCACAGTTCCCTGAAAACTAAGTTGCCAAAGTAATTTGGGCCAGCACTCAAACCATTACTGGATTACCTAGGATGGACGTGCTTCCCTCTGTTCCAAGCTTATACTTCTCACATACTTCTCATTCCACACTTTGATGCCCAAGATCAACCTGGACGCTACAATCGGCTTGTCTCTGGTAGCTGATGAGGAAACTGGAAACTGGGACTGCATCTGACAGCCCCAGGATTAGGCTAAGACAAACGGCAGTCTAGCGTTACTTGTTCGTTTTGCACACTTAAATCTGTCATTGCAAATTTAATGAATGAATTAATAATTAAAGATGTGGTGCAGTGAATGTGCACTGAATTATAAATGTACGGCTTGCTGGGCGCATTAATAATTGAATGAATAAGCTAATTTATTGAAAAAGCCTGCCAAAACAATTCGTGCAAAGCCCTTCATTTTAATGAAAAACATATAAAAGCATATGGTTGAAACCTTGGACCAAGGATTTCGCAGCAAACTAACCATCAGCTCTCTCTCGAAAGAAGGAGCCATCAAGGGTCCTTCCAGACGATGGTTAGTGGTGGCGTTTGTTACCATTCGGACTATTTCCCAAGTGTCTTAGCCGATGATAAAGAATGATTCATTGAGAAGCTTTATTTGTATAGGCGCAAATTTTTCAAACTCCAGTGAGCAGTGAAGCGTTTCAAACAGTGAGAACCTAACAGCTTGCTTACAAGCAACTTTCAAAAGACAGAACCAATGATCGCCTCCAGAAGCGCAGCTGTTGCAATTTGCCGTCACTCAGATCACTTGCAAGGGGTTCTTGCCTCCTACAGAGAATGAAATATGGAAAGAAAGTAGTTATTTTATATCTAAAGAACTTTGACTCGCCCCCTTCCTCTCCCCCCCCC